TTTTTTGGTTTTAGAAGTATATTTATGAGAAACTCAAGTTAACCCTGACATTCATATGTAGGATTTATTACTTTTGATTAAAATTCTTGAATATTTTGTATCCTGCAACCGCTTGCTCCATTATTTCTACACAAATATCTTCTCTTCAATTATTTCTTTTAATGATATTCTCCAAGAGTAAAGCAACTGAATTCGAGCTCATGGATTTAATAAAAGCTTTGCAGAGATTGAGAAAGTCTTTGAGATTGCAGTCAAAGGATCCAGTGATGAAAGGATAGCTGCTGCCACTATTCTTTGTGGGGCCTCCTTGATTCGCGGATGGAATATTCAGGTAGCAAATACATTTCAATGCATGGCCTGTATTTTCTCTGTAGTTATCCCAAGTCCGCCTCATTTTTTATGCTTAATTCTTTCGCTTTTTTTTCCCTCATGTCTGGTTAGAGACTTTGATTTCATGTGATAAAATATTGTGCAGGAGCACACTGTTTATTTTATAACTAGATTGCTATCTCCACCAGTCCCGATCGACTATTCTGACAGCGAAAGCCACTTAATAAGCTTTGCTCCCATGCTCAATGTTCTTCTTGTGGGGATTGCACCATTCGACTGTGTTCATATTTTCTCCCTCCATGGTGTGGTATGTTAAATTTTGAAATGTATGCCTTGTGAATGCAGTATCTTTTTAACGTTTCGTGTTACACTTTAGTTCATGTATATATGTCGGTTCCTTCATATTGCTAACTTTTATCATGGCTATGAAAACCATGCCAACTTCCAATATTACTCGTTACTTGCTGCAGTTCATATATAAATCTCATATTTAGAAAATGAGTTTGGATTTCTGATTGTACTGTAAGGTTCACAGAGGATGAATTTCCTCAACGTGAAAATATAAGAATTAAATTCCGGAATGAGTTTACTCAGAGTTCTACAGATTCTCACTCGATGTTCATAAAAAGAGTGAAAACTAATATCTCCACTTGTTCGATTTTTACATGCAATTTTTGGTACTTATTGATTGCAATCATTGCATATTTTCTGTAACCTTTTGAAAGGGCATTGCTCTATGTAAAGAAACTTTTTTACTCGGTGATCTTGTTGAGAAAGTCAACATGGAGCAATCAATTGTTGCTCGGGGAAATTGTTGCTCATGATATATATATATGGTCCAGCTTGAGGGGGAGTGATAGAAATAGAATATGAATTTTAGCATCCTTTCTGGATAGCATAATTCGAGGTGATTTGGTTTACAAATATCTACACGCCTAGATAAGTTTTACTTTATTATGTATATAATGGTGTTCTTTTCCCTTATTCAAACACAAAACTTTCTATATTTTTTTTTTTCACAATTTGATTTCCCCTCCACATTCGACCCCCAACTATTTAAAAAATAAACTGAATATTGTGACATTGTGATTTTTTTCTTCAATATCTCCCATCAGGTCCCGGAGCTTGCGGCCTCACTAATGACGCTATGCGAGGTGTTTGGGTCATGCGTGCCCGACGTCTCGTGGGCCCTACCCACGGGCGAGGAAATCTCCGCCCATGTCGTCTTTACCAATGCTTTCACACTCCTCCTGAGGCTCTGGAGATTCAATCACCCGCCCCTCGAGTATGGGGTGGGTGACGTACCCCCCGTTGGGTCCCAGCTGACTCCCGAGTACCTCCTGCTCGTCCGCAACTCCCTCCTGTTGTCCCCCGAGCAGTCCCTGCAGAGGGACCTCAACCGGCGGCGGCTGGCCCAGGTGGTGGCTTCTTCGGCCCGCGGACCCATATTTGTGGACTCATTCCCCAAGCTAAAGGTGTGGTACAGGCAGCACCTGGCGTGCCTGGCATCACCCCTGACGGGCCTCGTGAATGGGACCACAGTTCACCACACGGTGGATGCTCTGCTTTATATGATGTTTAGGAGAATTAATAAACAGTCGGCAGGGTCCGGTGGGAGCAGCAGCTCGTCAGGCGATGATAGGTGTTTGAGGCCAAAGTTGCCAGCTTGGGATATTCTTGAGGCGGTGCCTTTTGTAGCGGATGCTGCTCTCACTGCTTGTGCGCATGGAAGATTATCGCCTCGTGAGCTGTGCACAGGTTTGGTTTTATGATGCCATTTTTTTATTTTTATTTTTTATTTCATGATTCATGTAGATGTCATTTTCGATTCTTCAATTCGAATATGATAAGAATCTATGAAATCTGAAAGTCAGTCACAAAAGAGACCTATAATCTGGGTACGTTTTAGCTTTAATTAATACTCATCGTTGTGCCTCAGGGCTGAAAGATTTAGCCGATTATCTTCCTGCAACACTGGCAACCATTGTTAGTTACTTCTCAGCAGAAGTGACTCGCGGAGTGTGGAAGTCGGTGTTTATGAATGGAACAGATTGGCCGAGCCCGGCTGCTAACATCTCCAATGTCGAGGAACAGATCAAGAAAATATTGGCTGCCACCGGGGTGGATGTCCCAAGTCTTGCTGCAGGTTTGTGTTTAGTGTTGCAAATCATACAACTGTATTAATTTGCTTAATGCCTATTGACTAACAATTGTTTTATTGAGTACCACGACACAGTTAGAAAGCGTGTACAAAGACGTGACAAATGAGAACAACATAATGCGGCATAACCTGAAACACGACAAGAAAAACACAAAAAATAAAAAAATAAAAATAAAAAAATAGTTAAACTTTGACTTGTTATCGTATTTATGATCAATCAAGTAAAATAGACAGCACGAAAACACGATAGTGTAGCACGGGCACAACACGATAGTACAATTTTCCGCCCCAAAATTTGTGTTATCAATAAATATTGGTATAGTAATATTAATAATATGAATTGTTGCAGCTGCGAGTTCTCCTCCTTCCCTCCCACTCCCCCTGGCCGCGTTTGTAAGCCTGACGATAACCTATAAGCTGGACCGCGCTTCCCAACGGTTCCTCGACCTGGCGGGCCCAGCCCTGGAGTCCCTTGCTGCTGGGTGCCCATGGCCTTGCATGCCCGTCGTGGCCTCCCTCTGGACTCAGAAGGCCCGGCGCTGGAGCGACTTCCTCATCTTCTCCTCCTCCCGCACCGTCTTCCTCCACAGCGTCCCCGCTGTTGTCTGCCTCCTCCGTGCCTGCTTCCGGGCTGCCGTGGGCCCCGCACCCCCATCAGGCCCACTCCTCGGCCAAGGCGGCCTCTCCCCTGCCGCCCCCGGCATTGTCTACCTCCGCTTCTTCCGCTCCATCCGTGACATCATGTTCCTGAGGGACGAGGTCGTCTCCCTCCTCATGCACACCGTGGCTGACGTCGTGGGGACCGCTCGAGAAAAGAGGTCTTTTGCGGCGGCTCTGACCAAAGTCAAGCTGGCGTCATCTTTGGGGGCGTCGGTGATATTTCTGACGGGCGGGCCCGGGCTGGTGCAGTCGCTGCTGAAGGAGACCCTCCCGTCGTGGTTTGTGTCGGCCCGGCCCGAGAGTGGGGGCGGGGTGCTGCGGGTGATGAAGGGGTACGCCCTGGCTTACCTAGCACTGTTGTGTGGGGCCTTTGCATGGGGAGTGGGCCCGGGGCCGGCAGGAAGGCGGCGGCCGAAGATCCTTGGGCGCCACCTGGAGTTTGTGGCGAGCGCGCTGGATGGGAAGATATCACTCGGGTGTGACGAGGCGTTGTGGCAGGCTTATGTGTCGGGTTTCTTGAGCTTGATGGTTAGGTGTGCGCCGTGTTGGGTGGTGGAGCTGAGGGTGGAGCTGCTGAGGCGGCTTTGCGTGGGGCTGAGGAGGTGGGGTGAGGAGGAGCTCATGCTTGCGCTGTTTGGGGCCGGAGGGGAGGCTGCAATGGGGTCGGCAGCTGAGCTTGTGGTCGAAATCGAACAATGACTTTTTTTTATACTTCACTTTGTTCTTTCTGTTGTGTTGTTTGGTATTATTTGGGTTTTGGGAGTTCTGTAGATGAGTTTTAAATGATTGTACAGAAGACGTGTAACATGTTCTGTTGATATAATATTTTAGTGATAATTGTGCAGAAATGTGAGTGGTCTACTTGTAGCAATTGTGAACTGAATGTTGAAACAAAAAGGGGCATAGACCATATGGTCCAATTGGATTATGTTGAGTTTGGTAACCAGCAGTTTGAGACAAAAAGTGAAAGTTTACATGCTAATTAAAGATGGAAAAATTAGTCAAGATTATTTTTATTTGCACATTTACTGACCATAATTTTTATTTGTAATTATACCAATACATTAATTTTTATTTAAAATTATACTGACATTATTTATCTCATCACTTTTATTTTTTTCCTCTTTTTTTTTTTTTTTTTT